TCTTCTTCGGCAGAGGAATGAGCTTGTTATCCCTGACAACGGCATCCCACTCCGAGACGAGGGTGTTTTTAAGGACGTTGGGAAGAGGTATCTTCGCCTGTCGGAAGCAGCAGTTGGGCGTTAGAGCTACGGCGGTGGAAAGTCAAGTTATCGATCTTGCGCTGTCTCTTACCATATTCTCGTAGTCCTCGTCCTCAACCTTCTTGCCTCCCTTTTTGAAAGAAGGCTTTGCGAGTTTCACGCTCTCGTCGAACTTCTTCAACGAGGCGTAGGAAAGCCACTCGTCGTACTTTTTGTTCCAGCCCTGGCGTCGCCGCAGAGGAGCGAGAGGAGTCAGCCGTCAGTCTCTTCCCGCACTTTCGCTCCCTGTTCACGTTCAGATCGCTTACCATGTAGTGAACGAAGTACTTGAAGCCGGACTTCGCGTCGTACGCGACCTTCTCGATCTGGGAGCGTTCGTAAGTTCGTAAGTTCGTTCGTAAGTCCGTTCCCAGAGAAAAACAGAGAAAACACTCAGTATCTCCCGTCCGAGTTGCAAAGACAGGCGCGGGAGAGCCGTGGGGGACCGTCGCCGCCCCCTGCGTTCGATTCAGATGTGTCTCCACCTTACCTTGGCCTCGTATACCAAGTTCTGCTGGGGAATGAGAACCCTGTCCCCCTCTGCGTACGGGTTCTCGCCCGCTTCGCCCATCGCGACATCCCCTCCGCCCGCGACTATTGCTTCTGCCATGGCGACGGGACTGTCCTCTCAACACAAACAGACCACAAAGACCCCCCCTGTCTCTCTCTCTCCCCACTCCGCTCTCCGACCCCTCCGTCCGTCGCAGCACTCTTCGACCGAGCCGAGACACCGATCGAAAGCGTCGCGAGACGTGGCTCCGACCTCGCGAAACTCCTCCAGCACCTCTCCCCGCTTCCGCTTCCGCTCTCCGTTCCCCCGTCCGTCCTCTGATCGATCGCGATCGCGCGCCAAGAGCTTCTCCTCCTCCGCTTCGGCGGGAAAGTAATTGGCAGGACATAGATTAGGATTAAGGTAGAGGCTAGGTCACCTGGTGGGGCAGAGGGTCCGTGAGTGCCGAGGGGACGGCAAGAGGGTGCCTTGGAGGTTCGCCGGGGGGAATTGAGACTGGCTGAGGAGCTGGTCTTGGTTCAGACAGTGGCCAAGTCGAACGAGACCTCTCCGCATTCTCTCTCGACGTCGTGTTTGTGATTTGGCCCTGGTGGTTCCCCCTTTGCGTTGTTGTGCGTCGGGAGGTGTTGGCGTTCGGACCAAGATACGCGTGATTTGGTGCGCGCCGCTGAGGACGGGGACAGAGATTGCGCCCGCGATCATGAGTGGAGGGGCCAGCCAGGAGGCAGAGCCCACTGCGGGAAGCCCTCCCGAGGCTCACACCAGTTCGGTCCACGGGAGCAGGGACCAGGAGAACGGCGGGGGCACGGGAGGGGCTAAGCTCGATTACTACTCCCACGAGGTGGTCTTCAAGGCGAACGAGAGGAGCGAGAGGGAGAGGGCCTACCAGTCGACCTTGGCGAGCTACAACGAGTCCAGCAACACTTGGGAGGCTCACAGGGAGCGCATACACCGCATTCTCGGCAAGTTCGTGGACAGGGAGAAGGAGACGATATCGAAGAAGGAGTGGAGGTTCATCAAAGACCTTTGCAGGAGAGGAATCCCCTTCAGCGAGCGCCCGAGGGCCTGGTTCGTTTTGTGCGGGGCGGCGGAGGAGAAGAGGAAGAGCCCGGTCACCTACTCGGCCCTCCTGGCCAAGGTCGCCAAGGACCTCGACGAGAAAGTCGCCAGGCAGATCGAGGGGGACATAAACAGGACCTTCCCGGCCCACGAAGTCTTCCAGAGCCCCAAGGGGACGGAGGTCCTGAAGAACGTCCTGTCCGTCTTCGCCCTGGTCCACCCGGACGTTGGGTACGCCCAGGGCCTCAACTTCGTGGCGGGGATGCTGATCTTGGTGTGCGGCTGCAAGGCGGAGGACGACATCTTCTGGATGCTCACGGCGATCGTGCAGAAGAGGATGTACCCCAACACGTACGGAGAGGACCTCAAGGGGTGCCACGTGGGCCAAAAGATATTCGACCGGCTGGTGCAGAACAAGTTTCCAAAGGTCTTCAAGCACTTTGAGTCCCTCGGGTGCGAGCTGTCCCTGGTGACCTCGGAGTGGCTCCTCTGCCTCTTCTCGAGGAGCTTCCCGTCGGAGACGGTCGCGAGGATATGGGACTCCCTCCTCTTCGAGGGCTTCAAGATCTTTTACAGGGTGTCCCTCGGGTTCATCCGGTTGCTCCACGACAAGATTCTGCAGTGCGACAACCTCGGGGACCTCATCACCTTCATGAAGGAGGAGGTCAGGTCCTGCGTCAACAACGAGCAGGTCATGAGGAGGGCCTTCCACGGGATCGGGTCCATGCGGTCCAAGGTCATCATCAAGTACGCCATAAGGTACGAGAGCGAGGTGGAGGCCATGCTCGACTTGTACGCCCAGAAGAAGAGGGAGAGGAGGAGCCAGGGGAAGGACGACGGCGAGAATGACCAAAGTGATGATGTGATGTGATGGACAAGCTTGATGCACTGACCAAGGAGCACGAGAGGGTTGTGCTGGAGAACAACATGCTGCACCTGGAGACGATAAAGGCGTCGGAGAGCAAGGACGACGCGGAGAGGAGGGTGTACCAGAAGCTGAAGAATGACCTTGACCCTGAGATTATATAAAGATTATATATAGATATAGATATAATGCCGGGATTCTGAAAACTCGACATTTTTCCATTGGGCTTGGGTCGCGCCGCTCCTGGTGGTGGGAAATCAGGGTTTCGTCGATCGGAGAAGGTGTGGAGTCGTGTTGGTGTTGGTTCCAAGGGGAGAGGTAGGTGGGTCCCCGCGCGGGCGCGCGCGCGCCTCGTCGCTTCCGTCCGCCGGCGGAATTCTTTCGTCGCTCGAAGTTCTGTTCTGTTTTTCCCCGGAGCCGCCGAAGTTTAGGAGAGATCCCCTTTCTCTGTCTCTGTCTCTGTCTCTGTCTCTCTCTGTCTCTTGGAGGGAGGCAGGCCACGCGCGCGTATTACGCATACTGACCTGACTTGACCCCCTCTGCCTTGCCACGGCGCGAAAGTAGATACATATTCATCATGTCGGGTGCGCTGCGTAGTATGGTGAAGAGCACGAGGTCGCTGGCCGAGGTCGCGTCCAAGACTGTTTGCTCCAACGCTCAGAGCCAGTACAAGAAGGTCATGGAGGCGAACGCCAAGTATGTCCTCGAGGACAAGTCCAAGCTCGTGGACATGCCCAAGCAGTACATCTTCACGCATCTTGCAGAGTAAGTGGGAATTGAGAACAAAAGAGAGTGAAAGAGTGAAAGAGTGGAGAACTTGAGAGAGAGAGAGAGAGAGAGAGAGAGAGGAGTCGTGCGCGTGCGCCGACCTTGGAGGCTGACCGTTTCACCTCGCTCGTTCGTTGCCCTGTCCTAGGTTGCCAGCGAACTGGGCCAAAGCTACCAGGGAGTGGCAGCTGACGAAAGCGCAGCTTAGCGGTTGGAGAGAGCTCAGCTCGAACGAGGCCGCGACGGGTTTGCTGTTCGCCGGGGAGGTCTTCGCTTGGTTCTGCGTGGGAGAATACATAGGAAGGGGCTTCAGCCTGACCGGATACGATTATTAAATTGCGGTTTAAATATTGAGTTCACAGTCAAGTATGGATGAGGAAAAACGTGGGACAAGGAACATCTGTTCTTGTCGCGCACGTCACTGCTTTTGCTGCTTCCTCTTGTTGTTGCCTTTGCTGTTGTTGTTCGACCTCCTCGGGGCCCACTCCGGCATCGAGTTCGACGACCTCTTGTCGCTGACCCTGCCTCCCCGGTCCGGCACCTTGCCGATGATCACGCCCTTCACCGAGGACTTGAAGTTCCTCAGGCCCCCGTGCGTGATCTTGGACTGCAGGTCCTGCAGGTCCACCTCCCTCACGGCGAACAGGCTTTGGAAGTTCACGCGGGGCTCGTCCCCCATCTTGGCGATCCCGCCCTCTATGATTCTCCTGACCTCCTCGCCCTGGTCCTTTCGAATCCGGCTCGAGTGCTGCAAGCTCTGCAGGGTGACCGCCGCCCTCTTGCTCAGGGTCTGCCTCCTGACCTTGTACTCGGCGTGCATCGCGGCGTTGACCCTCTCCAGCAGCCCCAGCTGGGAGTCGCTGAACTTGGACCTGTCCAGCACGGGCGGCAGGGGCGACGCGTGGTCGGCGGCGCCCGCGGCCACGAGGGAGGCCAGGGCCGCCCTGCAGGAGGAGAGGCAGGAGGACGCCGAGGAGGACGCCGAGGAGGGGGTGAGGACGCCCGCCAGCTCGCGGACCGAGGCCGAGAGGGCGACGGGGTCGGCAACGGGGTCGTCCACCTCCATCGCCGTCGCCGCCCGCAGGAGCGACGAGGCCTGGACGTACTGCACGATCTCCTCCAGGACGTCGATCCGGTCCCGGCAAGCGGAGGCCCCGTTCAGGGCCTTCGCGACCCTCGTCAGCGAGCGGTCCAGCCTCCCCCCGCCCGACGCGTCCTCGCTCCCGATGGTCCTCTCCACCGCGTGGAGCGCCCCCCGGAGCCTCTTCTCCGGCCCCCCCGCGGAAAGCCCCCTCACCCTGGAGCACAGCGACCCGCACAGCGTCCGGAACGGCTCCCTCACCTCGCGGGACACCAGGAGGTCCTCCTCGGTCAGGCCGCCGTCCAGGCCCCCGAGGTCCTCCAGGCGCTCCAGGAGGTGGGACGCCCGGAGCACGAGTCGCGGAGAAGGAGGACGAGGCGAGTTCGAGTTCGAGTCATCGACGGAGAACGTCGAGTTCGCGACGACGACCATGGCAGGAGGGCAGGAGGGCAGGCAGGGTGTGTGCGCGTAGAACCAGTCCCCGCCGTGTGTGTGCGCCCGTCCCGTCCGCAGCCCTCAGCGAGCAGCTCGCCCCCCTCGATGCCGAGGTATATAAAGTAAAAAATGCCAAAAAAAAGTAATGTGCGTTTTCTACAGTCAGAGTGCCCGAGCTGGTCTAAGGGGTGGCACTCAAGATCTCGAAATCTTGCCCGAAAAATTGGGGTTTGCCATAGACTTCTGTCTGCGCGAGTTCGAATCTCGTCTCTGACATTTTTTTTTTAATTTGAGGGACTTGCAGAGCTGGTCCAAGACGAATTCGTTGTGAAGGCAGGAGGAGTGTTGAACGAGGTACTTGGCATGGAAGAGTCGAACTGTCAGAGCACAACGGACATGGGACAGAACATCCTAAGCGCGACCACCAAAGATTTGGGTGAGGTCCAAGGCGCTGTCGAAAAGTCGAAGGATCAAAATCACTCTAACCCGACCTCGAAGAATGGACACTCGCCGAACCAGACCAGACACCAGCCGCGGAAAATACACACTCCGCACATGAGAGGAACCGGAACCTGTACATGCATACTTCGTGTTTTTTGCTGGTCAGCGCTAGCAGCGACGACTGTATTGCCCTCACCATCGCCCTCACCACCAACGTCATTCCTGTTTAGGCACCAACAGAAGCAGCAGAAACGGTGTTCCTGGAGGAGCCGACAACAACGGGAGCAAATGCAGCCTTCCACTCGACGTGGACAAGGTGATGCCACCGAGATCAAAAGTCGGGTCGGGTCGTAGTCTTTTCGATCGATCCACCGCTCCTTCCTCCTCCCTCGTTCGCCCTCCGTCACGGCCCGTGACTCACGGGTAAGGCCAGTGCCAACGCCAATTTCCTATCCACTACCGTGCCGGTGATTCCAGGGGAGTTCTTCACTGGCAATTCCCGTCATTCCTTCCTTCGTAACATCTCCCTCATTCTCCCACCTTTCTCTCTTCAGCAGCAGGAACGGACGGCGATCACACGACTGAGGTCAGCTCTCGGCCTCTTCAGCCTGGATCGAGAGATTTAGTTACTAGAGATACCCATCAACGCCTCCACAAAGGAGTACCTACCTTAGGAACTGCCTCGATGGCATTGGCATCGAGCTCCAAGCCACAAGACAGTTCTGAAATTGACGCCGATTCCATGTACGACAGGGGGTCCGTGCCGTCATGGCCAGGAAGTAATCGATCGAGGGAGCTTGTAACAGAATTCAATCGGAACTCGGCGACCTAGCTGAACCTGAGAGCAAGCCCGCAGAGAGCCACGACTCATCTAGCTCGAGAAGCTAACACATTGGAAGCTACACCCCTTCCGATGCACACCCCTTCCGCCGATGCAGAGGGGGAATGACCAGAGCAGAGACCAGAGAGAGAGGAAAGACACATTGCAAAACATGACACACAACAAGAATGATCCATTAACCTGTTGATTGTTTGATCGAGGATCTCTTTCTTCTAACGAGTTCTCCTTCGCTCCACTTCCAAGGGTTGGTGCGAAAGGCAATGCAAGTGAAGTGAATCGCCTTGGCGAGGAATTGCATTCACATCGCGTCCTCGGAATCACTCCAGCAATTCCCGTCGTCGTCCGTCGTCGTGCTTCCTCCTCGCGCTGCAGAGTAACCAGGCATACGTAGGCATACGTAGGCACACGTAGGCATCATACGCTAATATGTCGCTACGTATCTGGTTACTCTGCAAGTAGATCCTCGCGCTGATCCTCGATCCAGACTCTACGATATGTTCGGTGATAGGCGTCAATCTGATCTGTGCTCGAAGGGAAGCCGAGGACGCAGAATTAGTCCTAGGGTCGGGTCTCGCGGCCGCGCGCGCGCGCAGGTCCAGTCTTCGCTCCTTTTTTTTTTTTTTTTCCCTCCTCCTCTGATGCCGGATCCCGCGAGCCTTCGAAGCCGCCGCCGCCACCTCGCTCGACCGCTGCTGCTGCTGCTGTGACGACGACGACGACGACGACGACGAGGAGGAGGAGGAGGATGGGGAAGCACCACCAAGGTCGGCGGTCCAAGGCGGCGTGGCGGGTCGGGGTCGCCTCGGTCTTCCTGTTCCTGGTCTACGCGTTGTCCCTGCTGCTGAACGCGCCGCTCTTCTCCTTTTCCTCCCGGAGCTCTCGGCGTCGTTACGCGAGCGAGGAGAGCGGCGCGTTCTGGTCCAAGCACTTCTTCTACTCCCAGAACGTGGCGTGGGAGGACTACGCGTTGTCCCTGTTCCTGGAGTACGCGGACCGGAACGTGACGAGGGAGCAGGTTGCGATCCTGAGCTCCCTCGTGGACGAGAACAGGGACGGGCGGGTCACCCTGCAGGAGAACGCCTCCTTCCTGATCAAGTTCGGCTCGGGCGGCGACGGCAAGAGCAAGATGCTGCGCGCGGTGGTCCACGCCCTCCAGTTCGCGGAGGGCGAGAGCGGCCAGTCCGCCGCGCTCTCGCCCTCCTCCCCGGGGTCCCCCCCCGCGAGCTTCTCAACCGGGTGCGCGGTGAAGCTCGAGTCCCTCCGCAAGGAGTACGCGGAGGTCGCGGCGAGCGGGAACCTCCAGTTCCGGGGCGACTCCCCCTTCACGATCGAGGTGTGGGTGAAGCCCGTGACGGGCGAGAACCACCTCGCGATCGTCTCCAAGTACAACAGGGGCAAGTGGGGCCAGTACTTCCTCAAGCTGGTTCCCTCGGGGGGCGTGTTCTTCCACCGGGAGGTCGCGCCCTGGGGCCAGGAGAGCGACCACGAGCTCCCCCTCCACGTCTTCTCCCACGTCGCCGCCGTGTACGGGGGGAAGGAGGCCAAGATCTACCTCAACGGCACGCTGGTCAAGAGCCAGGCCGAGGGGGCCCAGGACAACAACAACGAGACGCCCGTCCTCTTCGGGGCCATGTACGAGAAGGGGGCGCCAATCGATTTTTTCGACGGGGAGCTGGACGAGATCCGGTTCTGGGACGTGGAGCGGACGCCGGAGCAGATCCACTCCACCATGCACCTGAGGCTCTCCGGCACGGAGGAGGGCCTGGTGGCCTACTGGCCCTTCGACGAGTGCACCGGGATCAAGGCGAGGGACCACGTGGGGAACCATGACGCGGTCCTCCACGGGGGGTCCTGGAGCCAGCCCGGCGTCCGCGTCAAGGCCTACAAGGACGTCTTCGGCTGCGTGGACTCCCTCTGCACCAAGTGAGCGTCGCTCGTGCCCCAAGCTCGATCCCGTCTTTCTCTTGTAACACTACTGTTATCATTTTTTGTCGAGAAGGAAAAAAACGCGAGTGAGATCGATCGATCGCGCCCCCCTCCCCCCCCTCTCATTACTTTTTTTCTCTCTCGCATCTCTCTCGCACTCACTCACTCTTCGGCTTCGGCGGCCCCCGAACACGAGGTGCTTGTTGTTGTTGGTTTGGTTTGGAGTGCGCACGCGCGCAAGATGGACGGGAGGGAAGAGGAGGTCCTGATAGACTCCCTGCCTTACGCGGACGTGCTCAGCCCGGAGTACAGGCGGCAGGCGGAGGCGCTCATCGAGGAGGAGGCCCGGCGTGTCCCCAAGCCTCAGCAGGCTTCGCCCTGCGGTCCACCGCCGACCCCGTCCCGGAGCCTCGACCTCTCGAGGTACGACCTCGGGGAGCCGAGCGGGAAGAAGGCGGAGCCGTGGCTCGGCGCGGTGAACAACGCCTCGAGTCAGCTGGAGCACCAGTCCGTGAGGGTGGAGAACCTGGAGCTCATGCTCAAGTCGGGGGCCCTGGTGTGGAGGGCGGCCAACAAGCAGCTGGAGGGCCTCTGCAGCAGCGTGGAGAGGGAGACGGCGGAGCTCGAGGAGCAGGTCGAGACGCTGAATAGGGAGAGAAAGCTGCTGCAGCAGCAGCAGCAGCAGCAGCTGGGGAGGCTCGAGGGGGAGTACTACCACAGCGTCTACAAGAACTTTGAGATCGAGGCTTTGAACGCAGCGGCTGCCGCTGGTGGCGGCTCTCGCTCTTGAGAACAACGGCGTGTGTGTAAAAAATGAAAAGCATGTGTAACTAAATCTCTTTGCCCTTCAGAACATCGCGGGGTCGCGGTACTTCTTGTTCACCGCGTCGATCTCTTGGAAGATCTCTTCGTCGAGCTCCACGCCAAAGGCGTCGATGTTCTCCTCCAGCTGGTCCATGGTGGTCGCGCCAATGATCGTGCTCGTGACGAACCACCTCGACTTGCACCAGGCCAGGGCGAGCTGCGTGGGGGTGAGCCCGTGCCTTTGGGCAATGGCGGTGTACTCCTTGACAGCGTCCAACGCGAGGGACGTCCTGAACCTCGACATGTAGCCCGGGAAGAGCGAAAGCCTCGCTCCCTCGACATCCCCCTCGTTGTACTTGCCCGTGAGAGCTCCTCCGGCGAGGGGGGAGTAAGCAAGCAAACCCACGTTGCAGTTGCGCTTCGCGCAACACTCCGACAAGTTTGTCTCGAATTGGCCTCTGTTGATCATGGAGTACCCGTTCTGGATGCTGATCATCCGCGGAAGCCCGTACTGCTCCGAGCACCGTATGAATTCCATGACGCCGAAAGACGTTTCGTTGGACACGCCGACGTGCCTCACCTTTCCGGCGTCAATCACGGCCTTCATCCCCTCCAGCTGCTCCTCGAACGGCACGGCCTCCCACGCCTCCGCCTCGTCGTACTGCTTGGCCCCGAACAGCGAGACGTAGCGGTCCGGCCAGTGCACCTGCAGCAGGTCGACGTAATCCGTGCCTAGTCTCCGAAGGATCTTGTCCACGCCCTCCTGGATGTCCGCCTTCGTTACTCGAACGATACCGTTGTCGCGAAGGTAGGTCATCCTTTCAGACTTGCCCGCCACCTTAGACGCGATGATTATCTGGTCCCTTTTCTGGTGCTTCAGCCAGGTGCCGATGTACTTCTCCGTCAATCCTTGTGTCCCCTGCTTGGCCGGGACGGGGTACATCTCCGCGGCGTCCATGAAGTTGACGCCCCGATCGAGCGCGTAGGACATCTGAGCGTGCGCCTCGGCCTCGGTGTTCTGTTGCCCCCACGTCATCGTGCCGAGGCAAACCTCGGGGACTCTCAGGTCGCTCTCGCCCAGCTGGCGAGTGAGCGGCGTGTACGCGGCCGTCGTGCTCGCGCGAACCTGCTGTGCAGACCGCCGAACGGCCCCACCGACAACCCTCTTCACCTCCTTCCTCGTCCACGCTCGTTCGGCATTCATTTTTGCCTTCGCTCTCCGGCCCGGCCGCTGGGCTTTGTGGCTCGCTCTGATCCTCAAGAA